AAAACGGATGTTTAATTTAAAGTAAATAAAATAATAAAATATACTTGGACGGTACAAGGAATTAAATTAAAAATCGTAAACAGTGTTATTCAACATGGTAATGCACCTATTTTGCATAAACAGAACGCCGTACTATAATGATGTAAAAACAGAATATTGTGTTGTTATGATAAACCATCGCATTAAAAAATGATTCTGAATTCCGAGTAAAGAGTTTTGTCCATTAAAGTTTAGGTTGGATGTATTTAAAACCTTTAAAGTTCTGTTATCTATATAATAAGAATCTAACTTGATTTTGGAGACGAAGGAAACCGGTTTTGAGAGTCTATTACCTAAGCGCTTCCTCTCATAATAATAATAATAATTATATGTATAATTAGATTACCTAATTACCAATTAAAAAATATATTCATCAATAACGATAGGTATCTGTTTCTCTTTTTTTCTTTTTTTTCTTTACTTTATAATTGACCTATAATAATGTTTCTAATACGCAAGCGCATTCCTTTATTTATTCGATCGATGAGATCGACATCTCCAACTCCAAACCTTCAGTCGATTGTTGTACAGCGTTACTAACAGATCTAATTTTTTTTTCAAGTGTGATTTAAATATATTATTAATTCAATAATAATAATTATTATAATAATAATAATATTCATTATTATGAGTAATAAAAGGTGCATCGTTTTCCATTGTGAAAATCGTTCAAATTGCATTCAGGCAATTTCATCGTATGCAATTCCAAATGGAGGAGAGAGGTATTTAATAACAGCTAATACTTAATAATTGTAATTAATAATTCTTTAAAGTGTACCCACTAATGATTTAAATATTTATAGGTTAATACAATGGCTTGATGGTTGCAACAGGACCGATTTATTGGAACGCGAAAACAATATTCGTACGAATAATAAAAACTTTAGAGTGTGCAATTGTCACTTTGAAACCAATATGTTTTTTACTATACAGCGTAAGAGGTTAAGACCAAATGCTGAACCCACATTATTTGGTATGTGGTATTATATACATTATTAAATAATATATCTGTTTATTATACTTCGCCTATGTTTCACTACTATTTTTTATTATAAATGCATATACTTTATAGGTGTTATACCGTTCAAGTGGGTTAAATTCCGGTCTGCCTATTTATACCAACCTAAGCATCCATATTATGACGACGATGATGTTTGTATCGGTGTAATGGATTTAATTTGTTAATATTGCAATGCAATGAAATTCAAAGGTAGTTTATTAGTGTATACATTTTTAGAATTTCGAAAACGTTTTATATTATTTTCTTAATTAAAGGAGAATCTGCTGGTATATGTTGTTCAAATGGAACTGTTCGTATTCCTAATATCGATGAACCACCAGAATCAATGGAAACTCTTTTGGAAAGTTCAACAAGTATTTCAGAATACTTTTTAGAAAATATTAATAAATATAACAATGCATTTCATATGACCTCATTTGGAGTGGTAGAAACTATTGTCGAAAATGATATGCCTACATTTAAAATAAGAGGTCAAGTGTCAAGTATCATTTAGCCGGGTCGTTGATGCCTTTACCAAATACAAATCATAAATATTTACAAGTTTATTTTATGGATGACGAAGAGGAACAAATTTATGCACGAATGGGTATTTGCAGTGAATTGAATAAAGGTAATTGTATTGTATAATATATTTGTTGTTTAAAACGTTTTAATTTATATATTTATACATTTAGATATTATAAGAGATTTGCAATTATTGTTACATAATATCAATCCTTACGAAGTTCAAAACTGCATTGGATCAATGGATATGCCCACTGATCAATACCGATTAGTCATAAATGCAAATATGGTTCTTTAAGGTCAACATAGAGGTAGATTTAATGCATCATCTCAAGTAGAAGTGGCAGTAGTAATGATTGGAGAAGAATATGGAAATCGCGATATAATTTTATCTAGAAAAGACGAAAAGTTACAACGAATAAGTGAAACTCATAGGTAAATTCCTTTTAAAGTGTATACACTGTACATTTTTTCTTAATTTTTATTTATGTGTTTTTTGGTCTTATGATTCTCTAGAATATCCACTGATATTTCTACACGGTGAAGATGGTTATGCTATTGATGTTTTGTCAATTAATGTTAATTTAAATGAATACAATAGTCATAAAACTGTTTCTTCAAAACAGTTTTATGCTAATAGACTGATGGTGAGGCACCTAATCATATCTACAATCATTTACATAATTATAGAAAACTTATTAATAAATATTGGGTAAGTAAACAATATTTTTTCAACTTAATCAAAAACGTCGCATGTATAAACATTATAATAATACAAAAAGAATGTAATTTTTTTTAAAGGTTGATATGTATCCCAAAATAGAATCAGAACGGCTTTTATTTATACGGAATAATCAATCAAAATTAATAATTATATTCATTTACGTGATGCTATAGAAAATGATGGTCACGTGAATGACTTGGACAACTTTTTATTTTACCTTCTTCATTTACAGGAGGTCTAAGGTAATAAAATATTTTGTATTTTATAACTTAAAATTGCTACGAAAAATGTACTGTAATATTCATTTTAACAATCTAAAATATTGTAGGTACATACTATTAATTATTAAATACATGCACGAAAAAACTATGGATGCCATGACTTACGTTCGTAATTTTGGGACTCCAAATTTGTTCATTACATTTACATGTAATCCAAATTGGATGGAAATAAAAAGAGAACTCAAACATGGTCAAACTACACAAGACAGACACGACATTATCGCTAGAGTTTTTCATCAAAAAATTAAAGTTCTAATGAACTTAATTGTGAAACATCGGATATTTGGTGAAACTCAGTGTTATATGTATACTTTTGAGTGGCAAAAATGTGGTAATAAACGAATAGTATTATTTATTTATTTATTTAAGGTCTTCCTCATGTTCATTTACTGGTATGGTTAGTTGATAAAATTTGACCAAATGATGTCGATGATGTAATAAGTGCTGAATTACCAAACCCCGATATAGATCCTGAACTATTTGAAATAGTTAAAAAACACATGGTGCATGGCCCATGTGGTTATATGAATCCAAATTCTCCATGTATGGGAGAAAACCAAAAATGTTCAAAGAGGTAATAATACATTTTAATATTCAATATACATATTTAAATCTATTTCATATTAATATAACTATTATAAATTTATATGAATATTTAGTATATTTATAAAATTTCATCATTTGTACTTATATTTTGTATTTGTTTAAGTGTAGGTATTTAGTTATTTTTTAGTGCAAAAGCGCATAGTATTTATTAAACTATTTTAGCAATAATGCAGTTTAAACTTTAAACTTCCTCATATACCTATACTATGCAATTTTTTTAATTATTGTCTTTTTTTTAAATAATAACGATGGTACCTAAAGTTAAATTTTATTGATAGGACTTTCCGTGTAAGTTATGAGTAAAAACTTAATTTTCAAGTTATAAGGTAGATATATTCAAGTGCCATATGTAGTTACCTACTTAAGGTGGTTTTGCGTAATAAATCGTAATTAGTTTAAGATTAACATTATTTTGCATTTTTATTCTATACATAGGTATGCTAAGAAAAGCATATTTAATAAAAAAATTTCATTTGTTCTATTAGGTATCCGAAAGCATTTACTAACATGTTAGTACATGCAGTACTATTACTGAAGATGATGGATATCCTTTATACAGACGAAGGGATTTTGGAAGTGGTGGATTTAAATCAACTATATTACGAAATTCAACATTGGTAGAAATTGATAACAGATTTATTGTTCCATACAATCCATTACCATTGAAAACATTCAATGCTCATATTAATGTTGAATGCTGTCATTCAGTAAAATCAATTAAATACATTTGTAAATATATTAATAAAGGGTCTGATCAAGCCTTAAGAATTTTTCAACAATCTTACTAGAATTTTATGAATTGAAATATGAATATGAAAAATTCAGTAATTTTAATTGAAACTTTGACTGGTTGCCATTTAGTCAGTTTTGATTTTAGAGCTATAGTAAAAAGGACCAAATCGACTTAAAAAAATTCGGTCTATCCGAATTTGGTATTCAAAACACCTGTAGCCATTTAAAAAAATGCAAGTTGTATTGCGCATGCGCACACGGAAAGATCTAAAAATGTAAAAATCATCAAGAAATGTGTATTTATGTATTCCCTATCCCCTCCCGAAAACCGCATATTAATCCGATGTTACTGGACAGAATTATTTAGTGTTACCTTTAAAAGGAATCGCACTGTATTTGTTATTGTTATTATGATTATTAACTATTTATTGATTTGTTTGTACTTGCATTTTTCCATTTGAAATATATATATTATACATTGAACAAATAATTTATTGTTACATTTTTCCTACCTTATCTCTATTCTATAATAAAAAGAATAAAATTTACCACTCCAGTGGTTGAATTCTAAATGTAGGAAATATAATTTTCAGAAATTAGCAATAACAATAACTACAATATGTAATTATATTGTATTATTTCATTTATTTGTATAGCCAAAAAATAGTCTTATGTTTTTAAATTAAATTATAAAAAAATAATTTCTTCCGGAGGAAGATCGGGCAGCTAGTTAAATAATAAATAATAAAACGTCAAAATCACCAAGCATTTTTGAAATCAATTCATATTTTATTACATAATATTCTTTCGGTAGTTTTTTTTATCAAATATTTTAGTAAATACTCAACCACCAACCGTTCTCTGTATACTACCTTACAGAAAGAACCACATCCCATACAGGGATACCGTTCTCAGAGTTGGTTTTTTTTCTATTTGCATCGAAAAAAAAAAAATTGTTATCCAATAATAATATTATAATAATGGACATGTGTTTTTTTCACTTAATTTTATCAGTGGGCGTTGTTTCGGTATCACATTATAAGACATGATTTATCATTGTGAGACGATGTTAATTTTTTATTTTTGCCTGCAGAATACCTAATGCAGGCAGACGTCAACGTCTGGATGATCGATTACCGTGAAGTCTCGGCCGGGCCCCGTGAGTGTTATTTGGCTGCGGTGTTCAACCTGCCGGCGGTGGGTAAGTGCACTGCTCTGTTCGTGCGTAAAATCATTGAGCTGTCCGAGGTGGATGTGCCCGAAGAGACGATGCACGTGATCGGGTTCAGCCTAGGTGGCCAGTTAGCCAGTCAGATATCCAAAAACCTTAAGCCCATCAAGTTGCCGAGGATCACGGGTGAGAGACACAATATTTTATTATAATTAAACGATCTCGGAGATCATTATTGTATACAGTGCGAGCAAGGTTTTCTGTACACTCAGTCATCGATAATTTATTCATAATTAAGTACCTATACCTAGACTATATGGCCAATAATTTGTTCTCAGAAAATGTATTTTTCAAAATGTTTACCATCGTGTACACAACTAAGTAGAATTAAATACATGATTTTCGTTTTGCTAATTCGGAAATTTTAAGGGCACTCATGCGCACGAACTAATTATCTCGTTATATGGCAATAATATCTAATGGTTACCAATGTATCATATGTCCATATGGTATTCTATATTCCAGAATACCTGTAACTACAGTAATAAAGTATAACTAGACTTGTAATATTATAATATGTATAATACATACTAATACTTGACATAGGTTACGGAGGTTTAGACAGTTTTCGGTTCTGAAACGAATATAGGTGCGTGATGAGCTTAGTAGAAAATATACCAACTATTACAAACAATCGAGAAAAAATAAATGATAATAGTAAACTAAAGTGGGTAACGTATCAGATCGCGACTATCGATCTCGCGTCATCGGATGTACACAATTTTATTATAATATTATTGGCAATACTCGGGGCTGTCAAATCAACATACTACCCAGTGTAGTATATATAGTAACCAATGTATAGTGGTTTTCTTTCAGGACTAGATCCGGCTCTGCCGTTGTTCTACAGCTCGCACCTTAACAGAAGACTGAGTCGCAACGACGCCGATTTCGTGGACGTGATACATACGAACGCGTTGATCCAGGGCCAGTTGGCGCCATGCGGCGACGTAGACTTTTATGTCAACGGCGGATTGGCACAACCTGGCTGTCACAACAGTTCAAGTGCGTGTATATTAACAACATATAGAGGATGATTTCCCGGCATTTTTTCTAAAAGGCTTAATACGTGGGATGATATTTCGGATAAAATCACATACTATATTAATATAAATTTCTAAATTGTTAGTCCAACGTTATTTTAAAAAAACAGACACCATTATCATCTCCATAAACTCGTGGCTCAAGCTCTATTTTTTTTTTACTTATCTTAATACTAAACTCAAAATAAACAAATTTGATGCGTAACTACTATTGATTATAATTATTTATTTTTATTTAAAATTTCAACATTTTTGAAGAAATAGATGTTTATTGCGGGATACATGTCGAGACCATCAATGTAGGCGGGTTAGGTGACATATATTTTTTCTTCTAAACCTCAATAATTATACAACAAAAATAATCACTGTTCTGAGTAGGCGTAGCTAAGAAAGTTTTTTAATGATATATATCATAAAGTTAATATAGTATCATGTTTGGTGTCCGTTATAATATATTGATTTAATTGATATAGTTTAAGAATAAACATGAAATATTATAAATTATAATATTATACCATAAACATGTATAATTTTTATTTATATCAGGATTTCTAAAAATGTTTTGTTGAATTGAAACAATGAATAACCTATTAGCAGTTGAAGTACATAGATACTATAAAAACGATTTCAAAAACTCCTTAAAAATCGGTGTCATTCAGAATATAATTTAATTTAAAAATTGAATGACAATAAGAGCGTGTAGCAATAAATGAATAAACACCAACCCGTGCAACCGTAAACAATAGCCTCTAAACGACGGTTGTTTTTAAAAATAATAATTGTGCAATGTTGTACATTTATTTGATGTTTTTGTTTGTTTTTGAATATTTCATCAGATCCAATCGGTTGTGATCATCACATGGCTCCGACTTACTTCGCCGAGAGCATCAGATCGGTGACGGGTTTCTGGTCTTGGCCGTGTCCGAGTGCGTTCGAATATTTCTCTGGCAAGTGTCCACGGCAAGGCGACCACGAGCTGATGGGAGAGTGCGTGAACCACAGGTGAGCCCATCGTAGATTTTGCGTCTCAATATTTGGCGCTTTGTGATTTTATAGTATGTAGTTAATTAATAATAATTTATTGTCAGCCGTATTTACGTTATCTTCCCCCAATAGATGTAATCGTGATATAGTAGTTGCTATATAAAATATATATGCTATAATGCGCCAGGTTTTTGACGACGACTCGTCCTAACGCAGACAGCGGATCAGCTCTGAATATTATCATATTATTCACTTATGATTAATTTTTTTTTTAAGCAATTCAAACCGTTCGATTTATTTGAATGGTGCATTGTCTACGGTGTTAAAATAATGTTGTACCTAAACATAATATTAAAACCAAACGTTTCAATGCGTTTGTGATACGGGAACATTTTCAGTGGACCTATTTCTGAATGTAGGCTCATTACTATCGTAAAAGCGAGAGGTTGTAGTTTAAAATATGCCCTACTATGCCCTTAAGGGTACCGTATTAACAATAATAATAATACTTCACATCCGATGACGGTCGCGAGAATCGATGTATTATGATATGTCGCATCAAATTTCGACTATATACGCATTGTAATTCGCTCTACTTGACTTGATCATTAAACGGTCTTCGTTTGTATGTGATTATTATTGTGAATATTATTACTATTTAAATTTTATTTTAGTGCCAGGGGTCAATATGTATTGCACACGAACAGTGAACCACCTTATGCGCAAGGCGACTGGAAGCGGTGAACACCAGGAACATTGAAGGAAGGTCGTGTCCTGCCACGCTGTTATTATAACGTTCGAATAAACCATGCAACTCGCACGCCACTGAAACACGAAAATAATTATTATGCCGTTGCGTTTTCGATGAATATTTTATCAACTATTGTTTTATTTTTTTTAATTTTAATATTATATTTAGTCCGAGTTCAGAACGGACACAATACAATAATAATATAATATAATATTATGATACAATGTCGTCGGGTTTCGAATTATAAAACATGACAATAATATTAAAATAGCAGTGTGTCTAGAAATACATTGCGTGTGCTTTTATAGTGAATAGTAGTGATCGATATTGAATCCTCGGGGAATTTCGAAGGAAAGAAAGTGAATCGTTATAAAGAATAAAAATGATTGAAAGTTTCAAAACTTTAAAGAAGAACTCACTTGAGTTGAACTTTAAAAAATTTAAAAATATCGAAAATGCATGTAGGCACAACTCATGTCCGCTTTTATACCGTCATCAGTCATCACTATAAATTATTATTATAGTATTATCCTATATAATATTATGATCATCATCGTTGGATGGTTTTGTCATATAATATACTAGCATATATATTAAAGAATGGATAGCCAATGGGCAATGGCTATATTAACAGTATAGAGGGAAAGTGGGAAGAGAGAAAAACTATTATATGATAGTGACGACTACGATCTTATCTTATCTAATAAATTAAATATTCATGTTGACTGTTGTAACAAATCTAGTTTGTACTTTTGAGAAGTACTGAAAATTAAAAATTTCCAATAATTTTAAAAATCGTCAGGAAAAACAAAATAAAGTGAAAAAAAAAGGGCACCAAGTTCTTCTTTTCTCCTAACCCATGCAAATACCCAGACACTCACTCACTCTGTATCACAACTATTGGCCACTGATTACATGTGCCATGAGTTCGTGTGCACATAAAGTGCAGAAATCGTTTTGTGTGTTGGGATGTATAGGCATAGTGTATAGGGATGCTTACAAACTATGCATCCCACAAAATATACGATTTAGTTACGCTTTTTGGATACACAACCTATACATATATTATAAGCGCGTTGCGGGGTGAGGTTCGTTCATAAATATTATTTAGATGGCAAAAAATGAAAAGTAAAAAATAAATAGAAATCCATCGCTTTAATTAAAATATATCATTATTTAAATTATAGTTATATTATTAATATTATGGCGATGGAATAATACTGTATACGGAATTTAATTATTGAAATGCAATAATGTTTTCGTATAATATTATTATACATATATTGTTACGCTTATAATATATTATACGGGTATAATTTATGCCGCGTGAAATGATGTGGTTTAGATGGAATTTTTACGATGAGTGAAAATTTAATTCCACTCGTAAGTTGGGTACGTATTTTAGGTTTGAAATGAAATATATGATGTTAGCATATTATAATACGTTACGAGACGCATTATTATCGTACAGTCATGCCAGTACAATGCAATAAAATAATCTGGGATTCGTAATTTGTAATTTGGTATTTTCGAGTCCAAACAAATCGACCACGAACAATGATAATAATCAGTGGAGGCCGTCTGCAGTATTGCTGTGAAATTGGAGGAAATTTGACTCAATCAGCAAGTGATCGGTTAAAAATAAATAGTAAACAAATATTTTTACTGGCCGCAGACGATATAACTGGGTACCTAATCTGAAAGTATGACTCGCGTTTTTAATTATAATTTCATCATTTATTGTGACTTCAGTAATACGACAAATAAATTATTGGAATCGAAACCCTTCAGTCCTATTAATGATCCATAGTAAGATACAGCGTTTTTTTTTTTTTCAAAGATAATTTTTTCCTCAGAATTTCCCCAGGATAAATTTTTTGTAGTAAATTTATTTTTGGTTTTTAATTTTTATCTGCAAAAATATTATTGATAACTTTTCCTAAGAATCTGGAGTATCTAGTAACCCTAAGTACAAGAAAATCTAAAGTTATCTTGGGCCCGGAAACGGCGGAAAATAACATCACCTTAGTTGCCAGCAGCTAATTGCAATTACACAAAACGAGCGCTTGATGTTAAAAGGAAAAACAAATCGGCGAGACCTGCGCCTCCCCCCCTACACAGACATTATTGACCCGGTTGTGTGATTTAGTGTTTGTGATTTTGAAATTTTCCCCGACGAAAAACGCGCTATCGATTACGCCCGGCGTGTATATATAATACAATATAATCATTACTGTTGGCGTATCGTATGACCGTACATTGTGTGTATTACGATATTATTATTATTATTATTATTATAATATTGTCTATGCATGATTTACGAGAGTTATTTTAAACCGTTCATCCACATAATTTATTATTACTGTACTATTACTGTTGTGCAATACAATAAATTATTTCACCCACTGCAGCGGTGGCAAATGTCATTCGTATAAATATTTCGGTCACACTAGACTCCATTACACACTGCCGTGTTGTACGTATACCTACTATTATGCAGGTGTCGCGAGGGTTTTATCGTTCGAAAAATAATAATAATTCTCCCGACGAGAACTATTGTTGGCTACGCCAAATTGATTATTATAATAATATACTTTTGTACAAGCGAATTCGCTGCAGTCGGCGTCTCCCCTTCCGAACCGTAAATACTATAATATTATTAATATTATAAATATCCTTTAGGCGGGCACAGTGTGTATAATGCACATTATTAGTGCATGCGGTGGCTAGAGTTTTTTTTTTTTGGGGGGGGGGGAATACTTAATTTTTTTCTTCTAATTTTTGTACAACTTGTATATATTATACTTGTCACCTGTTACTTTAATCAATGAAACCATTTCGTTCATAAACAAAAATGTTGGGTGGCACCTGCCCCCGGTGCCCCATCCTTCTGACTATGGCACTGATGTACATAATAACATGTACCTGCAATTTGTTAGTGAGCGAGGAAAGCATCGGCTTGACAAGGACGAAATAATATTACGAAATGGCTAGCTCGTTGTGTGTCGACGACGTCACAGTGAACCGGTTGAGTTTTACTGGAGGGAAGGCTCGGAGAAAAACCACTTTTACTAAAAAAATTATAAAATGTCTTGCATAAGACTGAATGTGAACTATATAATATATGTTATTACCGTGATATGTATAACGTTTGTAAATATATTATAATGCTTATTATTTTAATATACTCGCTGAATCGATGCATTCACAGTTCATAGAAATAATATGAGTATGATTTACTAGGTATATTAGTATATTACGTACCAGCAATAATTAGTTAAGTTCACATGATATCAAATCTTCGTTTCTAATGGCATTATTATTTTCATCGCAATCGTAATAAAAGCCATATGAAAAATATTTCATTATTATGATTTTGATGCTCGTATATTGAACTTTAAAACCATGGTTCTAGTCTATGTACTATATTATATAAATCTAAACGTAAGATTACATTATTTTAATTTCCCTCTAGCTTATTGAACTTGAAAACCATGGTTCAGAGAAATTTAGTGAAGCACATACGTTGTGTTCAAAATCTTTATGGTATACTATTAACAATAAATATTAAAAAATATCAAGGTAATAATAATAATATTGTTATTTAAAAACATAATATTTTAAATATTATAATAATATGCTGTTGTAAGTCGGCGCTATGTATATGCGATTTTAATACAAAACAATGTTTTGAAAGCAAATACCACGCCGTACGTACCCACCTGTTTCATGTAAAATAAAATAATAATGTATCAATTAATAATATCACGATGGAACATATTAATTCAATTACGCTTTTACTTCAAAAACGTAATAATTATAATTTCGAGTAGAACTTGAAAAAAATACAATATAATTAATCAAGTCCGCAGATCCAATTGGATGGACTAAATCTCTCTCTTTCTCTCCCCCCAAAACAAATTTATGATAGAGGAAAAATAGACTTACATAGTTCCATATAATATGCTCATAGCAGGATTTGTTCGATATTCCGTGTGGGTGACGCTTTGAACATAATAATATTGGGTCATTGTCTGGCATGTTATATTATTTACAGTCACACACGTGACTGAAACCGTACATCGATTTAATTTACAGGAATTTACAAAACGTTGCATTTCAATTTCGATTTAATCCGAGCTATATATTCTAGACGACTGTAACATACACGTTTCGGATAATATTTTACACGTTAACGACGTAATAATTAATCGTATACCTAATAATATTATCGATGTACAATTCTAGTGCTTTTGTATAATGAAGTATATTTTATTGTTATAATTATTGAGAATAAAGGCTTCGAAAACTGGGTCATTAGCATGTATACCACTACTCCTACACTAGCAACAGATAATATTAATCATAATTATTGGCTAAACAACTATATTATTATTATATCTTGTAGGTACTTGTCCAGTATACAATAAGTATTTTATATTATTAACTGTCGATTGTTTTTTGAGAAATTTTTTTTTTTTTAATTCGTCGAATACAATATTATATTGTACTTCACTAGGTTGAATTCTTAGAGTTCACGTGTCTGTCAGATTATTAAAATAAGTACTAGGTAGTAGGTACCTACTAATAAAGGATTGTAAGTGTTTTCGCGAAAGTGCATACTATTATATTGTGCGCGCTTTCAGTTCCGCACGACAAGTAGGTACCTGGCATACCCCACAACTACAAACTATAATATAATATTATATTTATATAGATTTTTTCTTTATGTCATAAAAATTTTAGTCAGAATTCACGCATTGTACTTTTGATCAAAGAGAATTCAAAATTGGTTTTTCGGCGGATAATTCAAAGTGATTACTCGAGTTTTCCTGTATTAGGTATTGTGTCCGCAGTATATATTTTTTGTTTAAACTTTCCTTAAAGAGAGGGCGAGAGAGAGAGAGAGAGAGAAAAAATGAATACAGTGGAATATTATTCCCACTAATTTTCAGATTCTGAGAGAAACGATGAATGTATTGATTTGACAATG